AGTTTATAAATGTAGAACAACTAGATTTGATGTTAATTTCATTTCTATTTCGAGCAATTATAAAGGACTCAGTTATAAACCATATTATTTTATTTTTTTCTTTGATCGAGATCATGAACCAATTGATGTTAAACCACCATTGAATACCTGGAAGCCATGAACGGCTGTTTCGTCCTATTGTGGGACTTTTTAGCAGTGCGTATCCACGTTCCCGCTCACGGGATGGAGCTAATCTGTGTCGGGTAGTGACAGGGATCTACCTCAGTACAATGGAAGATAGTCGCGCAATTTCGTGGATTGTTTGAGGGTAGACATTAGTAACATTGGATGCCAGCTCAATGGTTCAGTAGGTTAAGCGCTCGCGTGCAAGACTGAAGGCCCTGGGTTCGAATCCCGTGGGCGGGATCGTGGATGCGCACTGCTGAAGAGTCGCGTAATAGCACGAAACGGCCGTCTAGTGCACCTACGTTTTCAATGGTGGTCTAACATCAATCGGTTCATGATCTCAATCAAAAAAACTTAATCTCCTCAACACTTATACTGATATATTATTTTACCTAACTGGATCTGAATTATTTTCCGGATTACGTAATAAGAATTAAGATATAAATAATTCTAATCTAATTAAGTATGATTTGTCATACAATTTTTGTCTTAGATTTCATAAGAAGTAATTTTACCAACAAAAAAATACCTAATTCATTGAAGATCATAGATCGATTATACAGAATTAATTGATAATAAGTAAAATATACCAAATTACCTGATGAAAATCGGCAGCATTTTTAAGATGTATAGTTGCTAATTCTGAATATCGACCAAGATTTTGCCAGCATCGATTAATAGGTCCAGATAATTTCTAAAAATAAAAATAAAAGAGTTAACAGTGACTAATGAAAAAACAGCAACCGATTTCCACATATCAACTAAAGTCCTGCATTTGTTTATATGAAATTTTTAGCAAAAAAATAACGTTTATTTCTCATGTAAACAAAATTTGATTTTACTAGAATAAAGATTTTGCATTTTTGTTTTTGTTTAGATATTATGTAATATTACATAAGATTTATATTACATAGATTTGTAACATTAATTGATTATCATAAGCTTTATAAGTAAAGATGGATAGTGGTTAGCAATGGAATTCAGGACGTGGGGTTCATCCTATTTGGGACTCGTCAGCTAGATGTACTTGTATTAAAGAGTTGATGTTCACTCTGGGACTTGAACCCAGTACCGTTCGCTTCAAATGCTATCGTGTTATTCCCTTAGCTACTGAGTCCTGATTGATTGTGTCATTCAGATTTATAGCTAAACTGTAAGTAGTATGAAATGTAACTTAGAAAATATTGTTTAAATCGATAATAGTATTGCAATCTCTTCGCTGTGTATATAAAAGATACTTCATTCATATCTTTAGCTAAACACATTCAAATGATAGTTTATCAAGAGTTGAAGATTTTCACGATTCCAACTGATATAGTCATATCAATGTTTACAAAATAAGAATAATATAAACACTATCGAGTAAAAATCATTGTTTATAATATATTCATTAAGTATCAATGGTGACTTATTATTATTCTTACTGATTGAATATAAATTATATGAAGAAGAGATTTTAGAACTTTTCACATAGATTGTAAATAATCTATATATTTTTTGTTATATTTCAATGAGTATGAAAATTGTATCTTCGACGTTTTGTTACTTAGCATAAGTCGCTTCTTCAGAGTAATCATTCTCATCGATATAAATAAATTATGAATTGTAGAAGTATGGTAAGAATAAGCTGAAGCTAATATTGTGTTGTGTGCTACTGATGTCGACAGATAGAAGTAGAATGTATCATCAATCGAAAATGGAATGCCTGGTGGTAGAAGGTTGAGGAAATCGAAGAGAATAGAACGAGAACAGTGAGTAATAGGTATGGAAACAAAGGAACAAGAAAGTCTTAGAGGATTGATTGACATTTAGCGAATGAAGTATTTACTTTATGTAAATAAAATAAAATATTTGTAATCCAAGATTAATTTTGATTCGATTATTTATTCTCTGAAGAAGTGGCTTACATTGAGTCATGAAACGTCAGGAAGTCTAATTTTTCTACTCATTGAGATATTAAAAATATATCAATTTATTTATAATAATTTGCCCAATGCTCAACTTATTCGAAATTATCAAATCAATCCTTGGTAATGATACCTATTTGCTGTATGATTCTCAGATTTTACAAAGATGTTCTTTAATTTTGTATTACAGTACATTCGATTGTCCTCACTTGTGTCTTCATTCATTACAATGTTATTTATATTAAGTTTACTTTTAAATTTAAAATGTAAATCAAGAAGTTCACTTTATTATTCAGTAATAAAAGAACTTGGATACATCAATAGTCTTTTTAGTCAATTAAAAACCAGTAGATACCATAAATTGTGATAGAGTTTTGAGCGAGACTATAATTTATAGACGAGCCAATCAGAAGCGTTTGAAGGATTTCAAGGTTACAGCGCCAACTTCATCCATTTGGCTAAATAGAGTTTTCACGTCAGTTCGTGATGAAAACCCTATATATAATTTCTAGCTAAGGCAAATTAGGACAATTATTGCGAACTGGATAGTAAAAGCACCAGTATTACAGGCTGCAGCCAGATACTACAATATATACGGATGATTGGAGATCGTACAGACTCCTAAATAGGATTGGTTATGTGCATCGTGTCGTTATCCACAAGTGGCATTTTGTGTACTCAACAACTGGAGTGCGCACAAACAATATGTAAACTATGTGATCGAGGCTGAAAGAGTTTTTGCGACCTTATCATGGCTCCAGAGGTCAACTATTCTGTAACCATATGGATGATTTCCTCTACTGCATGCATTACTATTTTACAGCGTCTGAACCTCTTTCTAACCATGACAAGTTTTTGAACCATATATAAGAGGTGTATCCACTTTATTTATTTGGTTTTGTATAATATATCTTTACTCTATACTGACTGTTTGCTGATTGGCTAATATTTCCCAAAGTCACTTAAAAGGTTGTTCATAAATTACAGTTTCGCTGAGTTTTGTTCTCTGAGCTAGATGGTCTGACCCTGGAGCTATCATCGTTCTTCTGAACGACATCATCAGCATAAACTGTAGTTATTTACAATAAGTGATTTTGTATTGGGAATATATTAATATACTACCAATCAACTTGATATTGTGAATAGATAAAAGTATAAACTGATCAAAAATATCAAAATGTTACACAAACATTTGATAATATATAGATAGTTTTAATGTATTTTTAGCTCATAATCAACAATAGTACTTTATATGAAATAACTGATATTTCTTATTTTACTGTGTAAAACAAAAACTAAATCCATACTGATATATGAGTAGAGTGAATAACATGGACAAATATATCAAAACTAGAAGGGGTTTTGTGGAGATTTTAGTAATTTCATTAGTTGAAATCATGGGTCGATTGAAGCTAGACCACCATGGAAAACCTGGATGCACTGGATGGCCGTTTCGTCCTAGTATGCGACTCGTCAGCAGTGTGTATCCACGATCCCGCCCCGCGAGATTCGAACCCAGGACCTACCAGTCTTGCGCGCGAGCGCCTAACCATTAGACCACTGAACTGACATCCAACGATGTTAAGGTCTAACTTCAACCAAAAATCTCCACAAAACCCCTTCTGATAATAATCATCTGCTCACTAGTGACTGACTTCAATAAGCATTTCCTGGAGTTCTAGTGAGAAGCTGTCACCAGTGAAGTTCAGCCAGGTCTGTTGTGAGATATCAGCTCACCGAAGACAACGGTGACGGTGGCGCTATTTCATGCAATGGTTAAAGTTAGACATTAACACCGTTGGATGTCGGCTCAGTGGTCTAGTGGTTAAGCGCTCGCGCGCGAGACTGATAGGTCCTGGGTTCGAGTCTCGCGGGGGCAGGATCATGGATGCGCACTGCTGAGGAGCCCCATCCTAGGACAAAACTGCCATCCAGTGCATCCAGGTTTTCCATGGTGGTCTAAATATGTCTTTGTATCATTATAATATGACGTAATATTGTTACTAAGAAATCATTTATAGCGTTATATAGTTGTATTTCATGTAGTTTAATTTACTGTCCTTTAAATGCTAAGCAACTAAAATGTTGAGATATTTAATATCGATTACAGGTGGATGATATAATATTTGAAAAAAATTCTATAATAAAATAAAATGAATTGAATAAAACACATGAAATTCAGTCATATGAAATAATATGAACTTCATTTCGATTATTTTCAAACTATGAATTATACTAGTATCACAAGATTGAACTCATAGAATACAGTTATTAAATAGATCAAATCATTTAGACTGTTTGGATACTGTATTCCATTTTATTATTAACTGTACTAAAAGTATTAATATCCAAGCAAATTTTAAACTTTGAAATGTTGATCAGATTTAATGGATAAAAGAATGAAGAGATATGTACAACCAATCGTGTCTCAGCGTGTTTTTAGCATAGTTGTTTTCTACGTGATGGGGTTGATGACACCACTTGCAAACCTCTTCCTCTATTCGAGCTTGATACTATCAGAAGCTTTAAAAGAGCTGCAGGTGGACAACATTCTTACAGTTGAAGAATATATGAAATTCAAAACAAATGTCAACAAATATCAAGATCAGAATTTTCAATATGAACGCCGAATATCATCAGTAAGAGCCTATTATGAGAGAGAACAAACCAGCATCCAGCTGAAGAGGAAATTAGGAAAAGACACTTGAGGTGGATAGGACATGCATTACGGAAATCATTAAACTGCATCATAACGCAAGCCCTAACTTGGAGTTCTGAAGAGAAACGAAAAAGAGGAAGACCGAAGAACACACTGCGTCGAGATTTGGAAGGATACATGAAAAGGATGAATAGAAACTGGGGGAGAGGGTTGCATGGAGAATGCTGGTAAGTGGTCTATGCTCCTCCATGAGAAGTAACAGGCATAAGAAAGCAAGTAATCTGTCTCATTTTATGGATTCACAAGTTCTGATTAAATATCATGTATATATTATCGAAACTTGTTTGCTTCACAACAGAACAGACATCACTACATAAATTATTTATTGTATACTGATACTTTTCTCATACCATATATACATGGTCATCATCTATCGCTATATGTTATGTTATATGTTCAAGTAGCAAACTGAAGGTTTAGGGTTCAAAGAATAAGAAATACCAATAAATATAGTATTACTGATTGATGATTTGAACTGTGTATTTAATTCAACCAGAGTCAACGAGAAAATAGAACAGTTCATTAGGTCTATATCATTAGTGTTGGAATAACAATTTGTTACCTTTTAATAAACTTATGAATACCTTATTCATTTATGTTTTTTGTCAAGTTATTTTCATTATGTTCACTTCAAAATATTATGCATAATGTTGATTTTGTAATAGCTTTCTACACTAGTGTGTTAGATTATATTTTGTAGCATCTGTAATATCTGTAATCATATTAGTCAGTGTGTGTTTGTTCTAGAGGATAATTGAATAGTATGTTAAAGAATGATACTTCAAGAAAATAACTTCTCTTCTTGTGGAATCCATCTGATAGTTTAAACAGAAAAACTGTTTCTATTATGTATAGACGTGAACATATCTAACATGTGTAGTATAAGAACAGGTCTCTTTAAACAGTCATATCATCAGTAGAATTTAGTTGAAAAACAAATGTAAGAAAATTTATAAGCATAAACTAAAAGTTGTCATCAAATCTAAGTTACTTCATTCAAAGATTTTAAAAAATAGATATAAAAAAATGAATGAACATATTAATGTATTAGATTAGAGCTATATTTGATCTCCGGTGTTGGATACCATGAAACTCACAAACGCTACGCATAATTGTAATTTAAGAAGTAACAAGTGAGATGCAGTAGATGTTATGAGTGATATAGTGATTTGGAAATTCAACTTAACAATTGAGCTAACATCAATCATAAGGCTTGTTACCTGTGTAGCCTTGCCATCAAAAAAGGATGCATTTCAAAGCATTTACACCACATAGTCGAGTGAAATGCAGTCATGCTCTAGAGTGGGTTGTCAAGTGTTCAAATATGAGGAGTCCTGAAACTAGACAAAATAATTTTTCAATCCTTGGTTCTTATAACGGTTCTCAGGTTGATATCGTTTCGTACAAATAATTGCTTCCAAATTTGTGATTATTTCTACTATTGACTCCTTGACTAGCTAGTATGTAACTAGTTTATTCACAAGTCATATTGTGTAGCTTAATCATACATTATTGGTGAATAATACCGTCTTATCAATATAAATCATCAAGGTGTTTAAAGGAGAATAGTTGATAGTGAAGCTATAATTAATAGACAAGCTTTGAGCAACGCTAGACTGACCTTGATAGCGTCCACCTAATACTTAGGATCAAATGAGGGTTATAAACCTGCATGAGGAATTAGAATTATCATTTACAATTGATAGTTAAGGTTAGGAATTAGATTTAGGGTTTTCATCACGAACGGATATCAGCTATAATGCCAAAACTCTATTTAGCCAAAATCTGAGACCTATTATCTTATATCTGATTGGTTTGTCCATAAATTTTAGTCTCGACTAGTTGATTTTGAAAGTATTTTTCAGTTGTTGGTGTATTGTAAAATTAGTCTAACAAATAGTATTGTAATTGTTTATGACTCTACATTTCTTTAATTTCTTCCATAAAAGTATAATTTTTTTAATGTTTACATATTATTAGTTTCCTTTTCATATCTACGTGAATGCATTGTAGTGTCAGTTACTATGTTTAGCCCACATACCTTATTCTAACTTCTGAACAGGCGAATATATTCATTCTTCTTGAGTCACATTTTGACCTTGTCAATTATTCGCTTATTAATCTTGACTGTATTTTTATATAATCGTATGCGTATACACTTCTTATCCTATTCATCACATGTCTGTAACTTATTTTTGTCTAGCTATAAATATTGATTAACGCTTGATCAAATCGATTTGGCACACTGCGTGTTATTTCACTTCGATCTCTTCTCTTCTTTCACTACCTTTGCTTCATCTCCCTGATTGTCCGTTCAGGTTAATGAGTATACTAAATACTAGTATTCAAACTCCATTCTGATATTTAACTTATTTAATCCCGTTATTCACTAACGCGATTTAAGTTCATAACAATATGCGAGAATAGTCAAGATGTATATTTTGATAGCAATCATTCAATAACGATCATTTATCCTATCTAATTAAAATCAAACATTAAGCCAGTGAATTAAATATTTAATGATCAGTATAGGGGTTGTGAAGATTATTAAGTTTTTTAATTGAGATTATGAATCGATCGATGTTAGATCACCGTTGGAAACTTGGAATTGTTTGAGTTCTAATTTGATGTGTATGAATTTTGAGCAAAGAGAAAAAAAACATGGAATACTTAAACTCTAATCATTTTCAAGTAAAGAATTCAAGATGATGATGATGAGAGGGAGACTTACAATTAATCTCTTACATTAAAAACTGTTATCTAAAAAGTTAGTAGGTTACTTTTTTTTAAAAAGAAAACACTCAAGGTATCTATGAATAGACTTACTCTTCTCCAAAATTTATTATCAAGATTTTCCATGATAAGTCTTAATGCACGTTTAGCATTGAATGCTGAAACATCCTATGAACAGAAAAATATATTAATATACATTCAATATGAAGTATGATGAATACTTACCGAATAAATATCTTCCATACTTGTAATTCCAGCTAAATAATGTAAACAATCTTTATTCGTTTCAACTCGTTCCTATTAAAGAATGAAATAAACAATTTATACTCTATGATTTTAAATATAAATGCTTACTGTTATATAGCTGATTTGATTCAAAATATCATGATTCTAAAAATTAAAATGGATTAATGTCATAATTGTATTTTTATATCATATCATACCGAACTAGTTACACTTTCTCTTATCCATTTTGATGATCCTTCAATTGTCTGTTGTCTAGCCATTTCATCTTCCAAACTTTGATGGGTATAACCAAAAATTGGTGTTTCACATGCATTCTATGTAATAAAAAGAGAAAAAAAAGACAAAAAAATCGTGAAAAATGTGATGAGTATAAGAAAGTGTTCGAAATTACATCTATCATACATAGTAACTTTAAACTTGAAATTATTGTTAATTCTATACTGCCTTCAAGTATTGATGTTAAGATAGAAGTTATATATAAAACTTGAACTTAATAACCTAAAGCTATAAAGTAACTGACGTGACTCAAAACTGATCAGCTCGAGTTGGTTAAAATAAAAGACTTAATTCAGCATGACAAAATTATCCTAAAATCTGAGACATATCTTGATTACGAATCGGGAATCAGCACTCATTGTCTTCTTTCACAATAGTTTAGAGCATTTGTGCATACCCACAAGCATATGCTTGATCAGGCCTACAATCCACAGACCTTACGGTGTGAATTATAGCAACTAGACAGTTAGATAGGTATCGATAAGTCACACTTTTATCCTTACTATCCTGATCTGCAAAGCCTTCATGAGTTTGTTCTAGTTTTTGGACGGACAAATCATTTTTTGGTTGGCTTTATATATCTTGCCTCTATCAGTTATACCCCTTGATTGTTTTAATACATTCTTGGCGTACGTATGTCTACCTATCTACCTGGTTGCCTTTTCATACTAGTCATAAAAAATTGATTCATACTCAATTAAATTAAGTAGGTCTATCACCTTGCTTGTCGTATGTGTCTGCACAAGTGAATGGCTGAAATGAATGTATTCAAAATGCATTTCGTATTCGACTTTTATTACTTGTACTGTGTGACATGATCGATAGGTAAACCATATTGGGAATTAGATATAATCCATCTTACATCGGGTTCATTCATCATCGTCATCACTCAGTCAGTGAGATACTAGAAAACACATTCTGTAAAACACAAATCTTCCCCTGATTTCATTGATGAATTAGTATTTTACTTTTGATTTTGTTGGTTGTATATATATTACAGATTCTTATTGGTGGTTCGACAGACCCATGTTGAATATAATATCAGTGATCTGCATTTGTCATATTTACTAGAATCTTGCCATGAACCAATTTAGTAGATTAAATAATAATAAAAAGTAGATTTATGTTACTAGAAAACCTCCATTTCATAGTTCCATACTAGTATTGAAACTAGTATCATTTGAAGAATATGAAGATACCAAAAGAAATCAAACACTTGTTTTGTCTTCTATTAGGGAACGGTTACACAACATGCATCTATGAAAACTTATAAGATTGGTTCTATGAAATTAGGTTCCTATCATTTGTAGACATTTGTTAACCTAATGCAGTTAAATAAGTCAGGAGTGAACAAAAGTTACGGGTAAACCGATAAGAGGAGGTCCATCCTTAAATATGGTTACTAAAGAGTGATCTGAATGATATTCATTCAGTGCAGGTGGTTAATGAATTACATCAGTAGGTTTCGTCATGTTTCCATTCGGTAAATCATTCCAATTACTTACTAATTATAACAGACAAATGTTTTGATAAATATTCACCCTAATCTCCATATCCATGTAGATCACTAACACTAGTCCCTATTACAATAAGATTAAAATTATTTTATGCCTTTCTTTCGAATTCTTTCCTCCTATATTATATTCTTATACTTAATCTTTCTTTTATGCATTACCGATTCATATGTGTGCCTAGTCCTACGTTTTAGCTGACTGACTGACTCCAGTAAAATATTTATCAGAAATATGATGACTTTGAAAGAGAATTTTATGAACCGAAGTACTATCAGGATGAAGTACTATCTATCAAAGAACAAGTAGAAATCAAAATAAACAGAGTATCTATTTCTTTTTTACTTGAAGCACCTCCAATATGACACAATGATATATGGAAGTAAAAATACGGACCATAAGATCTTACATGATAGTTATCAGTGATTTTGGTTGACTACAACAGCTTATAGTTTCCATCTTTATTGTTTAAATAATAACTACTTTCAGTGATTTAGGTCACTTTCATTCAAACCAATTGCTCAAGTTATTTATGAATCCACAACATTTTTGTTGTCATACAAAACCTACAAATTTCTAACAATTTTACAGCGACAAGTGTTAAATAAATCTAATTTAACAGACATCTAGGTTAATTAGACTGCTATTTTATTGACTAAATTATAAGATCTACTATTATTTAACTAATTCATAATTTCATTTCAGTTGATGTTAATCATTTAAAAAGTACACAACATCTTGTTGTACTTCATTATACTCGACATCTTATCATTATTTTAACAGATAGAAGTTTTTTTGAGGAAAAAAAATCAACCTAGCAACAAATATCTGTCTTAGAAATCGTCTATGAAAGATATAATTCTATTTATATAACCATAGCAACTCATATACAACACACAATAATCTATTCATTGATTAATAAATCAATAAATTTACGATAATCTAATGATGAAATAAGATAGTTGTGCCAAATAAATTTTCTCTTTTTTTTTCTTTCTTTTTTTTGCCTTAGATTTTATTAAAAACATAAAGATATACACTTACTATTATGAATAGGTATACAACTATAAAAGTATTCAATAGACAATACTGTTTCTGTACAATACAATAAATAACTTCTCGTTTTTTTTAAAAAAAATAAAAAAAATAGTAATAAACAATACTTTGTTAATTTTATTAATAATAAGTAGTATATAAGTATTATTAGTGCAAGTTATTGTTTGTCACTAATGCCTACTAATTCATTATTATAAAAGTAACTATGCGTATTTTTTTGTTATGAAAAAAATAAATTAGTTTATATATTCAATATATACACATATGATACAATTATTTTAAGGTTCATTTTCATCTTTACAATCTTTATATTTGTGTTAGTTTAAAAATAATGTGTAGGTATTAGTTTAATAGTAAATATGATGTATGTAAGTGAGTTTGTGGTTGATTAGAGGTTGATGTACTTCTTCAGTTGGTATATATATATATATATTAGTGTATGTTAGTAAGTAACATAGAAATTCCAAAGTATATTTCAATGTGCATAGTTATTTATAGATTGATATATATGAGCTGAGTGTGTGTATATCGTTCAAACGTCTAACCACAATAATTCATATAGTAACAAATATTCGAATTTTTATTATAATGAAAACAGTAATAATAACAATATAATAGTAATTAACTCCGCCTGGAGCCCCTCTGGGGTTACTGCCGGTCCTAAACCCGGATGAAGGAGGAGGGTTAGGCATGGGGTTAGCAACCCTATCTCGTAATAAACTAACTGACTAAAAAAACGCTTACCAGAAAAAAATTATTCAAACCATTTAAACTCTGCTCTGGGAGTCAGAAGGTCTTAAGTAATAATAATTATCGATATGAGCCTATTTTTTTATTCTTGTCAGATATACTTTCTTAAAGTATTAGCGAATTTGTTCTCTTGAAAAACTCACTTCGTCTAAAGAAACTATGAATCGGTTTTTGTTTTAGTTTTGTTTATTGATCATGTTCTATTTAAGAAGAAAGAATTCGAAACATTGTTTGATTGATTGCAATACATAGTGTGAAATGTATTTATAAAGGTTAAAAGGAATGTATAAATAGTGTGACCATTCATTAATGTAGTATCTAAATTTCAATTATTCAGCTAAAAATAACCATATATGATAGGTTATTAGATTATATCATAACTTTAATTGCTAAAGAGATTCGAATAATTTGATTTGTTCTACTTGAAACCCATCACTATTGTTTGTTTAGATTTGAATTAGCATATCTGATACAAGTTAAAACTTCAATATCCTTCTTTAAATGATATCCTGTTAGCTAACTGAATATTCGGTTATAATAATCCCTTTTTAATGGATAGTTAGCATTATTCAGATGAAAGTATGTTTGATTGACCGGTACATTATATATTTCACTGACTATGTAGATTTTCAATAATGTGGTGTATATTAAAATTTTAGTTTTATGATACAATATAAAGTTTATTAGGTTTTCTTCACTAAGAAAAGAAATTTGACTAGTTTAGTTTCAAAAGTTTATCATACATGTCAATTACAGTTTCAGATAAGAAACTACTGTAATTTATTTCACTTATTAACGAGATGTAATGTGTAAATGAATCGTTATTTAATTGTAATAATCGTTGAGTTAGCAAAAACAATGTTTACGAATCAAAGTCAATGAGTTTTGGTTAAGTTTTGGTACTTTTTCGTCGTATAAATGTCAACAATTGAGCTACTGTTTAATGATTCTATCGATATCCCACTTTCTGACAGTTATTTTCTTGTGAACACCCATCTTGTGACCCTTGATTTGATCCTACATGGTGAATTTAAAGTATCTCTTTAAGTTTCAAAGTCTAAAAGATGAATCATTAAGAAATAATTTACTTGAAAAAAAGTAAACATGTATTTATCAGAAAGAGATTTTTTGAATAGTACAGTAATTTAACAGCTGAGTTCCTGAATTAATTGAAGCTAGACCATCATAGAAAATCTGGAAGCACTAGACGGTCGTTTCGTCCTAGGATGGAACTCCTCAGCAGTGCGCATTCACGATCCCGTCCCTCACGAGATTCGAACCTAGGACCTATCAGTCTCGCGCTTAATTTCTAAACCACTGAGCCGGCATTCAACGATTTTGATGTCTAACTTCAATCAGTCCATGAAACTGAGCCACCATCTACCATTGTATTTTATAATGCAATGAAATCTTTAATTCTGAAATGCGAGACGTAAATTTATAAAATAACCAAAGAGTGTCATGAAAACTTTGAAAAGTCAATACATTAGAGAACTATTTTTACTTCATAAACTATTAAGTACAGTTAATAATATAATGTAGATACCAGACAGTATTGTTTAGCTAAGTAAGTTTAAACTTCTGTCTATGCTTTTCAAAACCTTTATACTATTAATGCATAGTTAATTTCATATTACCTAAATTTATATCTATATACGAAATATTAATTTCCTGATACTTAACTACATGACCCATTAATTATTATTCATTCTTTCATAGAC